AATAAATGACCTTGACCTATATTCAAGGTCACAGGGGTCAAATATGTTTAAATCTTTTAAACAACTTCTGAATAACCAAGAGGCCTAGGGTGATGTTATTTGGCGTGTAACATGCTGGGATGAAGGGCTACCAAGTTTGTTCAAATAAATGAAATTGATTCATATTCAAGGTCACAGGGGTCAAATATGTTGAAAACCTTTAAACAACTTCTTCTGAATAAACGAGAGGCCTATGGTTATCCTTTTTGGCCAGTAACATGCTGGGATAAAGGGCTACCAAGTTTGTTCACATAAATGACCTTGATTTATATTCAGGGTCACAGGGGTCAAATATGTATAAAACATTTAAACAACTTCTTCTGAATAACCGAGAGGTCTAGGGTGATGCTATTTGGCCAGCAACGTGCTGGGATGAAGAGCTACCAAGTTTGTTCATTAAAATGACCTTGACCTATATTCAAGGTCACAGGGGTCAAATATGTTAAAAACATTTAAACAACTTTTTCTGAATAACCAAGAGGCCTAGGGTAATGATATGTGTCCAGTAACATGCTGGAATGAAGGGCTACCAAGTTTGTTTAAATAAATGAACTTTATTCATTTTCAAGGTCACAGGGGTCAAATATGTTTAAAACATTTAAACAACTTCTGAATAACCAAGAGGCCTAGGGTGATGTTATTTGGCAAGTAACATGCTGGGATGAAGGTCTACCAAGTTTGTTCAAATAAATGAAATTGATTGATACTCAAGGTCACAGGGGTCAAATATGTTGAAAACCTTTAAACAACTTCTTCTGAATAAACGAGAGGCCTAGGGTAATGCTATTTTGCCAGTAACATGCTGGGATGATAGGCTACTAAGTTTGTTCAAATAAATTACCTTGATTTATATTCAAGGTCACAGGGGTCAAATATGTATAAAACATTTATACAACTTCTGATGAATAACCAGGAGGCCTAGGATAATGATATTTGGCCAATAACATGCTGGGATGAAGGGCTACCAAGTTTGTTCAAATGAATGACCTTGAATCATATTCAAGGTCACTGGGGTCAAATATGTTTAAAACATTTAAACAACTTCTGATGAATAACCGAGAGGTCTAGGGTTATGATATTTGGCCAATAACATGCTGGAATGGAGGGCTACAAAGTTTGTTCAAATAACTGACCTTGACCTATATTCAAAGTCACAGTGGTCAAATATGTTGAAAAAATTAAACAACTTCTTTTGAAAAAACCAAGAGGTCTAGGGTGATGACATTTGGCCATTAACATGCTGGGATAAAGGGTTACCAAGTTCGTTCAAATGAATAACCTTCGCCCATATTCAAGGTCACTGTGGTCAATATACATTAAATATGTGTTTAAATCTTTAAATGATTTGTTCTGTATATCCAAAAAGTCCAGGGTGATGATATTTTGCTAGAAGCATGCTGGGTTGGAAGACTATAAATTCTGTTCAACCTAATGTCCTTGTTCGACATTCAAGGTCACGGATGTCAAATGTTTAAATATTTGAATTGGTTCTTATAAATCAAATACTGATATTCTGCCTGTAGTTGTATTTTAGTCCACTTTTAAGATAAGTGTGAAATTAATACCAGGTGAGCGACTCAGGCCCATTGGGCCTTTTGTAACTATGAATGTTTTATTTGTTTTATTAAAGGTTTTACGCCCTTGCCACAGCTGATTTTACATGCTTTCTACATATATAGCATGAACTTAATTTGTCATTTTAAAGTTACTTGTTCAGGTTATATTATCTTTTGGCATTCTTATGGGCTGCATTGTTACTTAATCTATCTACACCATAGTTTGTTACAAACATATCTTTTTACAGCAAAAGGAAATTAAAACAACACACTTAACTTAAAAGAAAATGTGGGGCGATCACCGGCTTGAGCAATATTAAGCTGGTGACTAAAATAACTTTTTGGGTGATCCCTAAGGCTTGAACGATCCCAAGCTGTGGAATGGGTAGCTTGCAGGCGGCCCTGCAAACAGGCATCGAGCGACCCCGGTGCCTGAGTGTTCAACGTATAAGTAAGAACATGGTTTACAGGGCGATCCCAAATAGGCACTTACACAGTTATGCTCCGACTAACTAAGCACGCTCCTATACTCACCTACCCTAAAACTATGTTAGATTACCATAAAGCAAACTAGGATTAAAATGTAAGTAACTTAAAGGGGGTGCTCCCCGACAGGCACAGAAACTGGTTATGATTGTAAAATGGAAAGATACAACAACAAGCATATAATGAATTGGGGGTATACTTCCCCGAATTACATACAAATGTAAATGTGATGTAACAGAGCGAGAGCCCCCAAGAATTAAAAAACAGACAGTGCTGATGTTGAGACTTCTCTGAACTGACTGAAGACGATATCAATAGGGGCTATCCCTATAGGCTGAATGGCCATTGGTTAACAAGGTCACGTGATATGCTGTACACTTCACCAAATAAAGTAGCGGAGATCGACGGGTAAATGTTGTGTACAAACAATTATTTAGATAATCCTAAATAAACATTTTAACCGACATACCATAACACTTTTACAATATTCTGTAAAGAGCTACAGTAATCCGACTGGGTGCCAAGGTTGGCAGAATATAAAATAACCAGTTGTTAAGAGTTAAAATAGAGGCCCAAAGTTGCACTATGTGCAGCAGATCAATACAAAAATCTTTTGTCTCGCGAAAAAGCAAATCAAAAAATCTAAAAATAGATCTATGAAAGGACACAGATAAACACAGCAGTGTTGATTTGTCTATTTATCCAACAGATAAGTGAAAATGAAAGATCAAACTGACATAGAACCAGTGAAAATATCCAGATGATTTGTTTACCATTTAGACCATCCCAATAGTTATGCTGTATAAAAATAATACTGGAGATTGTTCTAGCCTTGTTGGCTCTTATGATTTGATATTTAGAGATGGGGGAACTGTAGTAAAACTGTAGAGAAGTACAAAGACAAATTTAAATTGGGAATGCATTATTTTTAATCTGGCAACCATCCTTCCCAAGTAGAAAATCCAGCTTATAAGATGATCCAGCAATTTTCTTTTTTAAGTAGATTACCGGGCCAATATCTTTTCTTGGAAGAAAATTCAGCAATCTTCCTTCCAAAGCAGATAATCCAGCCACCATCCTTTACCAATAGACAATCTATTATTGCTTTCCTACCAGTTTATTGTCCAGAAATTCTCCCTTCCAGAAGTTCAACATTATCCCTTCCCTTGCAGATAATACGGCTTATCCTTTACCAAGAGACAATCTATTATTGCTTTCCTACCAGTTTATTGTCTAGAAATTCCCCCTTCCAGAAGTTCAACAGTATCCCTTCCCTTGTAGATAAAATTGCCACCATCCTTTACCAAGAGACAATCTATTATTGCTTTCCTACCAGTTTATTATCTAGAAATTCTCCCTTCCAGAACTTCAACAGTATCCCTTCCCTTGCAGATAATACGGCTTTTCCTTTACCAAGAGACAATCTATTATTGCTTTCCTACCAGTTTATTATCTAGAAATTCTCCCTTCCAGAAGTTCAACCGTATCCCTTCCCTTGTAGATAAAATTGCCACCATCCTTTACCAAGAGACCATCTATTATTGCTTTCCTACCAGTTTATTGTCTAGAAATTCCCCCTTCCAGAAGTTCAACAGTATCCCTTCCCTTGCAGATAATACGGCTTTTCCTTTACCAAGAGACAATCTATTATTGCTTTTCTACCAGTTTATTGTCTAGAAATTCTCCCTTCCAGAAGTTCAACCGTATCCCTTCCCTTGTAGATAATAGGGCCACCATCCTTTACCAAGAGACCATCTATTATTGCTTTCCTACCAGTTTATTATCTAGAAATTCTCCCTTCCAGAAGTTCAACATTATCCCTTCCCTTGCAGATAATACGGCTTATCCTTTACCAAGAGACAAACTATTATTGCTTTTCTACCAGTTTTTTGTCTAGAAATTCTCCCTTCCAGAAGTTCAACCGTATCCCTTCCCTTGTAGATAAAATTGCCACCATCCTTTACCAAGAGACAATCTATTATTGCTTTTCTACCAGTTTTTTGTCTAGAAATTCTCCCTTCCAGAAGTTCAACCGTATCCCTTCCCTTGTAGATAATAGGGCCACCATCCTTTACCAAGAGACAATCTATTATTGCTTTTCTACCAGTTTATTGTCTAGAAATTCTCCCTTCCAGAAGTTCAACCGTATCCCTTCCCTTGTAGATAAAATTGCCACCATCCTTTACCAAGAGACAATCTATTATTGCTTTCCTTCCAGTTTATTGTCCAGAAATTCTCCCTTCCAGAACTTCAACAGTATCCCTTCCCTTGCAGATAATATGGCTTATCCTTTACCAAGAGACAAACTATTATTGCTTTTCTACCAGTTTATTGTCTAGAAATTCCCCCTTCCAGAAGTTCAACAGTAACCCTTCCCTTGTAGATAATACGGCGACCATACTTTACCAAGAGACAATCTATTATTGCTTTTCTACCAGTTTTTTGTCTAGAAATTCTCCCTTCCAGAAGTTCAACAGTATCCCTTCCCTTGTAGATAATACGGCTTCCATTCTTCCCAAGTAGATCATAAGGCAGTCGTCCTTCCCAAGTAGATAACCCAGGATTTGGATGGTTAGTGGAAGGTAATGTGCTTATTTTGGGTAGCTGGAGCTAGGTTAAGTCAAAACGAAAATATTTGTGTTTCAGGTAACATGCCTTACAAAATAGGGTAGGCCGGTAGGTAAATCATTTAATTTTATTTTTTACGGTTAGAAATTAAGCTTTAATCTTGAACAGGAAGAATTTAAATAAGTCACTGACAGACTTCCTGGCAAAAAGGTTACGGATACAAATAGTTGATAAATAGTTATAGGGCCGACAAGAATTATGTTCTATTTTCGGTTACAGGCATGAAAGGTATTGCTTTCTAGTAAATGTTGAAAATGTTTGCTAGCTTGACATGTGCTTTTTTATTTGTAGAGCTGAAAGTGTTTGTAGCTGCTGACAGCATATACGGAGGGCAACCGACGATAGATAGTATTGTCGAAGGAATCCATCGAAGCTCAAAATGTTTATTACTTGTCACAAAGAACTCATTGAAAAGCTCTTGGTTCGCTTTTGAAACGACACTGTCTTTAGAATGGTCAGAACAACTAGGCACATTCTGCAGTGTTATGCTCCTATATGGAGTCACCAGGGAGGAGGTTAGTGTCTTCTTCGTAAATAAAACTGTAGTAAATAATATAGCTGCTTTATTTCTCGATTTCTGTTTAAATCTTGCACTTTCTGATACATTTATAACTCTGTTTTACATATCAGTATTGCACCAAAGAAATGTCTTAAATGATCGAAGACAAATTAGCTATCGTTATACACAAGCACACAGTGTGTAAAGTGAATGTCTCGTTTTTCCAATCACCATTGTTATCATATTGTTGATTTCAAATATAATTTAGTCCTCCTGATTCACGGTTTTCTATTAATTTTTAGTTAATCAATAATGTATCTGACATGAAAATTAAATTAATTAATTAGATATCACCAGTGATCGGCTTATCCAGTTCGAAACCTTTACTGTACGTAATAGGCCTTTCGAGGCATTGACCGTCACGAGTTTGTTCTATTATTGACTATGAGTGATATCTTCCACAGGTTTTATATGTTAACAATCATTTGAACTTGTTGAATTTACAGCTTCCGAAATTCCAGTTATTTGACATCATGCCGAAGGTGCCTTTAAGACTAGACTCCAATGATAAGTGGGTGGACGACCAGATTTGTAAGGTCATCGAAGCAATACAAAGTAATTGAAATGCTGTGTACCTGGAAATTTTCGCCCAGTCAAACTTTCGCCCTTCACCGGTAAAATCCATATTCGCCCAGTTTTAATTTTGCCCTTCACAATAAATAACTATTTTTATTATGTTGTTTACTTATATTCGCTGTAATGATAAATTCGTCCTTATAACTGAGGGCGAAAAAGACGAAAAATTAAACTGCAGCGAAAAATTGAACTGCACCGAAAATTCCCTGGTATCAGAAACTCTGCAATTAATTAAGTTATAATGGATTGCTCCGGTGGAAACAGACGCTTGTTAACGTGGTCACTTCTATGTTGTTTATACAGCAGGAGGTTTGGTCACCAATGTTTATTACTGTTTTATTTTCCATGGTCTTCATGTAAATATGTTTTCATTATTGCAGTTTTGTAAACACTTTGGTACTCTTTTTTCTATTCAAACAGAGCTTGTACATGAAAGTTAGATGTTTGGTTACATTAGATTTGACATGATGTTTATTTATATCTTTGTAGAGGAGACTCCCATCAACCATGCACTTCCTGTTGGGAATGTTGCGCATGCTCAAGCCTGGTCTCATTTTTTTGGCTATCACAATGTGGTACACGGCCGTAAGTTATTATTTCTAAGTCTATTATTTGTATGACTACTTGTTTCCCCGTCGACTACTTCACGTATATTTGCTTCAAACCATCAGCACTTTGTTGTTTTAATCCGCCAAATGTATGATATTATATAGATTACATTTGTAAAACCATCATTGCCGACTCTTCAGCATTCCGATATCCATGAATAATGTTTGTCCGATATTAGAAATACAATGATTTAAGAAAAACAAACTCAAATCTAAAACATGTATTTTTATACCCTGTCTCCTAAAGAAAATTTGCGGGCTTCTACAGAATATCGGATTAGACATACCAACATCTTTATACGCCCGTCGAAATTCGACGGGGGTATTATGGTATAGCGTCTGCGTCCGTCCGTCCGGTTTAAGTTTTGTGCAAGTTTCTTCAGTGGTCTACCAGTTCAGTCAGATCATGTGTTATTGTCCTAATTTTTGGCATTGATGTTCATGTGGGGTCTAACAAGGACAATATGGAAAATAATTCCTATTTTTGTAAATTTTGGACTTAAGCAACAAAAGCATCAGAGCAAGCTTCTTGTAACATAGACTTGACACTGGCTACCAGGTACTTCAAATATCAAACAAACAAAAACTCATTGGATAGGGTCAGATTGGCGTATTATGCATCCGTTTGCGGTGCTCTTGTTACTTTTATCAGATATTGAAACCGACTTTAAAACATATTCATTGCGTTCTCGTGTCGTTATTGTTTTGGATTTTGTTTACCAGCAATATCATTAAAAGCAAAAATTGGCCGCAATAAAAAAAAATCCCCGTGTGTTTTATATAACATTGTCCCTTGCATATAGCATGGAATATGTTGTTTGGTTATTGCATTATTTTGAATGACACTGGACACTAGAACACTATAAACTGCTATTCGTCCGCTTCAATTTCTCTCGAAAAAACCTTTCTCTCGAAATATCAATTTCGACACGCTGATATACCCTTTCACAATTACTAAAGGACTGCAACTTAGTTAGCAAGCTTAACTGCCCATGACAACGTTATTGTTGACACTTTACACGAATAAGTCTTAATTGTGTTAACACTGATAGTGACATATCAATTGTTTATCCCCCGTTTTCACCAAAACGGTGGATATTAATTCCGTCCGTCCTTCTGTCAGTCTGTCAAGTCTGTCTGTCACACTTCGTTTCCGTGCAATAACTGCAACAAATGTTAACCGATTTTCTTCAAACTTGTAACAGGATTAAATGCCTCAACCAAGTTAGACAACCACTTTCAGCGGACATTATTTGGCGGAGTTATGGCCCCTTGAAAAAACAAAAAACGTCATTATCTACCGTTTCTGTTCATAAACTCTCGCAAATATTATCTGATTGTCTTCAAACTTAGTAACAGGGTTTGACACATTAAGGGCTCGGCCGAGTTTGACAACCACTTTAATCGGACTCCATTTGGCGGAGTCATTATCTGCAGTTTCCGCTTAATAACTCGAGCAAATATTAGAAAAGGCTTTTTTTCTCTCCGAGTTTCAAGCTACACATTAATTATCAACAGCACGATACTCACATGTTTAAACCTTACCTCAATAATGTTTACCTACAATATGTCCTGAAAGCGGGGGATATAAATTCCACGAGTTTGCTTGTTTACTTTGACGTAATACTTTAAATACACCTCGTAAGCCATGTAAAAGTGTCGGTTACATTGTTTATCTCTACCAATTGATATCGTTCAACTTCACCATTTTATCATCTTTAAACTCTTACAAGTTGACTTGATATCAATACCGATATTCGAGTTCTTTTCACAGTTTTAGAAGAGAGAATCCGGACCTCTGACTGGTATAAGGAAAACCCAAACAATTTTCCTATCAAAATATACGAGATGGTATCAAAAAGCTGCGACTCAACCTCCTTTACAAGCGATCGAAGAATAAAAAAGGTTGGAGGGCTGGATCCGATAGTTGTGACCAGAGCTGGCAACAAAACTAGACCGTATATACTCAATGTTTATCGCCTAGAAGACGGAGGACATGTATGTGACATTTTCCTTAATATCCATCATTTATTGTATGGTTAAGGAGAGTTTGAATCGAGGACCGTGGTTGCCGCATAAGCACACGAATGATCTGAAAAACAGTCATTGTTATTCTTCATGATTCTGGATTGACTTTAATGATTCTAGAAAAACTAATCTGGAAAGAAGTCTACACTGTTTTTATAAAAAATTGAACTACAATTTAATTTACTTTGGGAATCACAAAATTGTAGAAGTCGGTATTAAGTTGATTGAAGCTGAAAGTTTACTCATTTTCTGCGTTTCCCTTCAACAACTGGTCATTCGATCTTTGTAGAAAATTAATCCTAATTCATTCCCCAGATATTAGGATGAATCCTTACACCTGTAAAGTTGTTGTGACAGAAGATATCGATGGAAGTCAACAGTATTGATGAAAATAAGTTTAGTCCTGTCAAACAATATATTTGGGATTTAACTTTATTCCACAGCGACTGATACATTAAACGCTTACCATAACATTTAGTTCAAAGTATATTTTACACATTCGTCATTATATCAAAACAATTGTATGATATACAACCATATTTTACACGAATATTGCGGGGTGTCGTATTACTTTACACACACCGGACTTAAAATGACATGTGTATAGTTAATGCTGCAACATATGTAGTGGAACATTATGTTTTACTCTCCATTTCGTTATAACAGTTGTCAAAGTGATAAAATACTTATCTTTGTAGAAGTACTACTGTGTTGCACAGTATCCAAATGTGATTAGTGCCATTCTGAAGATGGAACAATCATCAGACATACAGATGAAACAGTATGAAAAAGAAATGCAACTTGCACGATTCAACTACACTCTAAGTGCCATCCTCCACCACAATGTGAACAAGACCTGCCATCGGCAGGCCCGACTACTCCAGTTTGATGGTATGTTTATCACGCTGTTCTACGTTTTGTACGGCTGTAAATTCCTAGAGGATGTTTAATTTGATTTTTCCTTGAATACAATGCTTTTTATATTAGTTTGACCGTTTGCTGATAATATCTGGTACGGTTTCCTGATAATATCTAGTACGGTTTGCTGATAATACCTGGTACTGGTTGCTGATGATATCTGGTACGGGTTGATGATAATATCTGGTACGGTTTGCTGATAATATCTGGTACGGTTTGCTGATAATTAATAATATCTGGTACGGTTTGCTGATAATATCTGGTACAATTTGCTGATAATATCTGGTACGGTTAGCTGATAATACCTGGTACGGTTTGCTGATAATATCTGGTACGGTTTGCTGATAATATCTGGCGGTTTGCTGTGGAAATCCACTTTTATTGATGGACTCTTTTCTCTTAGAAATTATTGCGCTGCTGAATCAGCCAATCAACAGCGACGTTACACACGGCGACGTCATTTTTTTTACGTTATGGGCTGATAACATATTTTTTTAAGCCAATGAAAATGCTTGTTTCAAGCCAGATTAAATTATTCCAAAGTAACTAACCACAATGTACATGTATAGTAAAGGTCAATATATATATATATATATTTGAATACACATTTTAATGATATCAAATATATATATTCAAAATATGAAAGAAACAATTATTTTCTTTAACAGGCCAAGAACCGAGCGAGGTACTTTTGAACGCAATTAAAACGGATATAAGAGAGGTTAGTAAAATAAAATAAAATAAATCTACTGGGATGTGTGTCTAAATGTTATAAATAACTCAGTCACTATTTTCCTCTGTTATCTCATTTTGTTTTGGAGATCGTCAATCAGATTAGCTCTTCAAAAAATAAATTCAATCATCTCACAGTTTGTCTGTGGACCTGATATCAGAGTCGACATACTGCACCCTGTATCGGAATCTTTAGGTGGCTGAGTCGGTGATGAAAGGCACATGACTAGATCCTCGAAAATAAATTGAACCTTTTTGTTAGCTCTTTAACAATTTCCCCTCTTGCCTCACCCCCTCCTCTCTCTAGATTGCTATCTTGCGCACACATACTGATTAAACATTACTTCCGTTTCAGGGGGAGTCAATTGCTTTGAAGCAAGCATTGCCAGCACCGTTGAAATCACAACAAGCTGACTTGGAGACCGATGGCGAAGGTGATGACAAAACATACGATGCTGTCATTGTGTGTGGCGAAGGAGACGAGGGAAAAGCATATGAAATAGAGGATTTTCTGATCCGACAAAAACTCAGGATTAAACCGCTTTTGATAGGGAGGAGCATTTTAAGAGGTTCGTAGTAAAATGCAAACGATATGTATAAGTTATAGTTACCAGTACCTGTGGATGCATTCTAAGTCAGTACACAACAGAAGATGCTTGATTTGAAAGAAGATCCTTAAATACGATAACATGAACATATTAGTAAATCGTTTATAAAGATGCGTTCACAAAGTTGAATTGTTGCTAACTACTAACGTTATATGGTGTATGAACATGATATTGTATGATACAAAGCACAAAACTCTGATATTATGAAATAAAGCATATAAACAATCATATAACGTTTTTTGTAGCCTCGTTATACCACTAGACCATTAGCTTGTAAACACCGGCACTGTCTTTTCGTGGTTTGTTATCATCACTTTTTACTTAGCCTCGTTGTGTAAGGTAGTGATATACAGTAAAACCTTGATATAATCCCCCGCATTTAATTTGCCACCTCATCTACCGCCAATATATTTCCTTCTCTTTTTTCTTTTTTTTTGTTAAGAAATTCTATATATATTTACTTCATTTTTCGCCAAACCTCTTTATATCGCCAACAATATCTGGACAATTGGCGGCTGTATAATCAGATTTTACTGTACTTTCAAAATAATATCAATTTCCGTTTCCGTTTATCAAATGAGCTATGTAAAAAGAAAGGAGGAAACGGTTTGACTAAAGCAGATACGACACAGAAACAATATTTCTGTTTTTCTTATTTTCATAGGAATAATTGCTTAATAATTTAGTAGATTGGCAGTTCGGGGGTTTTCCTCTCTGTCTCCTGCTTATGGGCCATTCAAGAATTCAAAATTGATCTAATGCCTTCATGGCTACCCCTTGGATTTTTTCTGTCTCACACACACACACACACACACACACACACACACACAGGAAATATTGGACCTTAAACATTTGGTAATAGATATATGGTGCCACAAAGGAAGTAATTACACTGCATCATACAGCTGTTTCGTCCTTTTAGCGATGGTGCTAGAATCAATCAAGTTGGAATTCAAATTTGTCTGTTGAGACAGAACGGGAGATGCTCAAACTGTCATTGGGTTTAATTCTTTACTGATAGGTGTTGAGTGAAAATGTGTTTTGTGATAGCTCTATCAATTAATATTGTTACGCATATGTCATAAAAGTTCAGGTGTTTCAATAGTGACTTGTTTAAGCCAGTGTTTGTTTAATTAGCGTTCAACAGTGCCGATAAACATAGCAATAAGTTACATCTATGTGTTATCTCATTCTGGTATCTATTCCCGACGTGTGTGTCATTTCAATACGGCTTTTGTGCTTGTGGCTAGAGAGAGATAGTTTGATTTTCAAGAGCGAAAGAACTTAATGTTTACTAAAAAAAAATGATATCAAAGATATAGTGATTACATGTGTTGTAAACACCAGATCAATTGCCATTAACATACCTTGATATTATATAAGTGAAATATATGTACACAGGTTGTTACTAATAACTGATTTGAAATTAACCAGTATTCCTCTAAGTTTAAAGTTAATGAAATTCATTTAATTCATGGTTTTAATGCATCTTACCTATTATAGTGAAAAACAATTAGGTTTTGAATGATATTGTTTGACTCCTAGCACTGCCGATGGAGCCAGGAAGGACAACATTTATGTATAGTGCACGGGAATTCTTTTTTTATTTTTTGGCATACTATATCTAATACCAAATGTTATAGGTGTTATCACATGTGTGCGCTTTAAGTTCATCTAAGGATTTCCTTTCTTGTTCACACAGATCTCGGGGATGCGACTGACCAGTGCCGATGGATCATACTGATTATGACCAAAAGTTGTCTCAACGAAAGCACGTTCAGTCTCCTCACGATGTCCCTGTTAACAAACAGCATCTCCGAAAAGAATCTCAACATCATTCCCATTGTTGATGACTTGACAACTGGTCGAATACCAACACAACTGCAGTGGATCACATACATTGACATGAGATCCAAAGGATACAAAGAACGCATATGTAAAGCACTGAAAGGTATGCTATAAAAGAGATTTGTGATATTACTAGTTAAATAAAGTTACATTTTTACAAATGGAGTAAACATTTTGATACTTTTAAGGTATGCGTCGCACGAGTGAAAATAAGCATGGGAAATATTTAACCAACGAGTGTAATTAGGTAACAAATCATCATATAAGCCAAATAAGTCAAGAAATGCTGTATTGCGTTGTCACCATAAGAAAACGTTGGAACGTCATTGATGTCAGAATTGACGATGCCCATATTTATTTTTCATACAAAATCCTGTTATGTGATTTCTTTATGAAAATAACAAAAAAATAGTTACTTGGCGTAGTAGGATAATAACAACTATATTTTCACTGTAAAACCTTGAATTACACTGGTAAAAAGTGAATAAAAACAATAAGGTAATTCCTTTACTCATTCAACATTCCCCACAAAATACTCTATCCACAACAAAATAAAATGATTGATTATTCAATGACACTTTGCCTTTTTCAGTTGCATATAATCATGGAGAAATAAGTTGATTAAAATAAGTTAATTAAAATACATTGCATATAACTCATTATAAACAATTTTGATACGAAATAGCATACCATAAATTGAGAATTCATTTTTTCTTCATTGCTATTGAATATCACATTTGACAGGGGAAGACATTCCGTTGGCTCTAGAAACAGCTCACATTCCTGCTGGTAACCTTGGATATGGGCTGGCTTGGGGTTACATCGTTAACTACATGCAAACGGTCCTTTCCAGTAAGTCTGAAATTAACTTTGATACTGTTTCCATATTGGATGTTGCTTTCTTACATTTTACAGATTTTTTTTTACCAAACACCCCCTTGGATTATAATATTATAATCTTATCTTGAACCAAAATGTCACATTGAAAAGAGATATTATTAGGTCGTTCATTCATTCATAATATTTTTTGTTGCAACGCAAATGTTACTGACCTAACCCTTACCAATCGATATTTCAATAGAAAAGGTTTTTGTTATTCTGAACCGTATGAGCATATTTACGTGAGGCCCTACACAGTCCTCAGTTCTGTATCCCATGTCAGACCATAGAAACATATGTACGTGAGGCCCTACAATGTCCTCGAGTCTGTATCCGATGTCAGACCATAGTGGCATATTTACTTGAGGCCCTACAATGTCCTCAGTTTTGTATCCGTTGTCAGACCAAAGGAGCATTTTTACGTGAGGCCCTACAAAGTCCTCAGTTCTGTATCCCATGTCTGACCATAGGAGCATATGTACGTCAGGCCCTACAATGACCTTAGTTCTGTACCCCATGTCCGGTCATAGGAGCATATGTACGTCAGGCCCTACAATGACCTCAGTTCTGTATCCAATGTCTGACCATAGGAGCATATGTACGTTAGGCCCTACAATGACCTTAGTTCTGTATCCGTTGTCAGACCAAAGGAGCATTTTTACGTGAGGCCCTACAAAGTCCTCAGTTCTGTATCCCATGTCTGACCATAGGAGCATATGTACGTCACGCCCTACAATGACCTTAGTTCTGTATCCCATGTCCGGTCATAGGAGCATATGTACGTCAGGCCCTACTATGACCTCAGTTCTGTATCCCATGTCTGACCATAGGAGCATATGTACGTTAGGCCCTACAATGACCTTAGTTCTGCATCCCATGTCCGGTCATAGGAGCATATGTACGTCAGGCCCTACAATGACCTTAGTTCTTTATTCCATGTCTGACCATAGGAGCATATGTACGTGAGGCACTACACTGACCTTAGTTCTGTATCCCATGTCTGACCATAGGAGCATATGTACGTGAGGCCCTACAGTGTTCTTAGTTCTGTATCCCATGTCTGACCATAGAAGCATATTTACGTGAGGCCCTACAATGTCCTTAGTTCTGTATCCCATGTCTGACCATTAGAAGCATATTTACGTGAGGCCCTACAATGTCCTTAGTTCTGTATCCCATGTCCGGTCATAGGAGCATATGAACGTCAGGCCCTACACAGTTCTTAGATCTGTATCCCATGTCAGACCATGGGAGCATATGTACGTCAGGCCCTACACAGTTCTCAGTTATATATCTCGTGTCCGGTCAAAGGAGCATATGTACGTCAGGCCCTACAATGACCTTAGTTCTGTATCCCATGTCCGGTCATAGGAGCATATGAACGTCAGGCCCTACACAGTTCTCAGTTATATATCTCATGTCTGACCATAGGAGCATATACCAATGTTTAACCATAGGAACTAATTGAAATGAAGCTCTGCATAGCCAGCAATTCTTCTTTATCTCACCCTTGGCTGTAGAAACTTATTAATGTTAGGCTTCACGTCGTCTTCAGTTCTTTTTTTCCCGTTGATTCCGTGGGTAATCTTCATCCAGGTCATTCACACGTCCACGAAGTAGTTACAGGTTTTATATAAATCAAGTCTCCGATTTAGTGGGTACTCGTAATGTAAACTCGTAAACGGTGTTTTGTTGTGAAACCACGAAATTTTAGTCTCACGAAAATATCTGATTTCACAGGACCCCGTGTCTTACTGTAGGAGCTGGGGTTGTTATGGTCAATCGGAGCCTACAAAATCCTCGCCTACTTGAGGATGGTTTTATAAGGGGTCCCCGAAATACTCCTAAGTCCTGTATTCCTCGTCTACTTGAGGATGGTTTTATAAGGGGTCCCCTAAATACTCCTAAGTCCTCTTTTCCTCGCCTGCTTGAGGATGGTTTTATAAGGGGTCCCCGAAATACTCCTAAGTCCTGTATTCCTCGCCTACTTGAGGATGGTTTTATAAGGGGTCGCCTAAATACTCCTTAGTCCTTTATTCCTCGTCTACTTGAGGATGGTTTTATAAGGGGCCCCCTAAATACTCCTAAGTCCTGTTTTCCTCGCCTGCTTGAGGATGGTTTTATAAGGGGTCCCCGAAATACTCCTAAGTCCTGTATTCCTCGCCTACTTGAGGATGGTTTTATAAGGGGTAGCCTAAATACTCCTTAGTCCTTTATTCCTCGTCTACTTGAGGATGGTTTTATAAGGGGCCCCCTAAATACTCCTAAGTCCTGTTTTCCTCGCCTGCTTGAGGATGGTTTTATAAGGGGCCCCCTAAATACTCCTTAGTCCTATATTCCTCGTCTACTTGAGGATGGTTTTATAAGGGGTCCCCTAAATACTCCTAAGTCCTGTTTTGCTCGCCTGCTTGAGGATGGTTTTATAAGGGGCCCCCTAAATACTCATAAGTCCTGTATTCCTCGACTACTTGTACATGTAGGAACTTTATATGACGTCCTGCCCGCATAATCATGCATTTTGCTTTCAAGTGTTATTTGGGAAGCCGACAATAATTGGTCTACTGTGCTTAATACTTTGAATCTCATATTCCATTGACAACCCCCCTTTTTTTCTTTTTTTTCTTTTCTTCTAATATCATTATTTGCTTAAGGGGTCTATAATTCGCCTTTTGGTTAACCAAGTAGCATTTCATGTCCTTTATATATATTTTGCTGATATACCACGGTTTATAACTTTTGATTTAAAGTGAATTCGTGATAATTACTAATATGCATCACATAACTATTTTGTTTATTTTAGAGTTTGGGCCACATCTACAGAAGGTGGTTAAAGGAGAGGAGAGATCCTGTCCGGAAAAACTTTACGTGTTGATGCCGAAAAGCTGTAAATGCACTGGACTTATAAGTGAAACGTGGCCGTATGTGAAACACTTCAGTTCCTTTGCCACATTAACGGAAGACCTTGGTGGTGCTAACATTATCAAGTCACTGGATATATATTACATCATAGATGACGACAATATCAGACCACAGGTATTTATATATACATCACATTTATGACACTTACCTGGTGTATATTCTAAATTGTGGTAAATTTGGTAATGTCATTACTTCATTAACAGAGACAAATGAAAGATTATATTTCAGGATATTATGAGTCCTAGAGGCACGAAACAGCTGTATGATGCAGTGTAATTCATTTCTGGAATACTGTATTTCTTGCAAATTGTATAGTCAGTGTTTTGATCTTATGTTCATCTCTTAAACTAAGTAGATACGCATGGCCTTGAAGAGAAAAAAACTATCATCATTCTGTTTTCAGTTCAGGAATAATGAATTCACGTTATTTTCAAAACGTTCGAATTAAATTATGTTATCGTTTTGATTGGATCTAATGAACAAATTTGCGTATTTTTTATGTAAACCACTTCCAATCTTTCCAGACTTCATACTTAGGGTGATATTTTCCAGACTTCATACTTAGGGTGATATTTTCTAGACTTTATACTTAGGGTGATATTTTCCAGACTTCATATTTAGGGTGATATTTTCCAGACTTAATACTTACGGTGATATTTTGCTACAATTAGCGTTAATATTGGAAACAATGACGAGTTTGCTAAACTTGTAAAACATATATATATATTAATCCAGTACTTAATGGAACTTTTCACTTATCGGTCAAACTGCGCTTCAGTAATTGCAAAAGGCCGTCATAAGTTAATATTTTAATCAATTCAATGGCATACTTAGAAAAATATTAATAGTTTGAAAGGCCTTCAAATCGACTGATTGCACAAGCCCAGCCAAACAATATTTCCTGGTTCCGTGTGACGTCATAGTTCCAAGAAAACGTTACTCCCTGTTGTAAATATGTTATCTTAAATCAGTTGTTGCAACGTACAAATCACAGGTCAAGGAAACTAGTCGTAAAAAAAGACTATAGTTACGAGCTAACTTCCTTGTGCTTATCAAAACACTTAGCTTGTGTAAATCTTCATAGGATATGTGAATGATTTCCTTTTCTTATTGTATCAAGCAAACCGTAAAATTTGTAAAAACTTGGTTAAATTTTACAAATTTTGAAGTTTGATTTTGAATATTGCAGAAACATTACTTCATTGGGCAGTACCCTGCCCCTGTGTTGTGTCTATGGGAGATGAACGAATCAAGAATCGCAAGCATCACAGATCGCACCATGGAGAGAGAGGCTGAAAGATTCCTGCATACATTTGAATGCTTAATGAAAGGAAATGTCGGCAATAAATTGCACACGAAATGTGAAATTGTCCATTTTGATGGTATGTTTCCTCATGTCAAAATATTTGAAAGAGTATTACTTGTAAGATGTTATATATAAATACATTGAATAACATCTTATACATGTTGCATTTTTTACGACAAACATATACATGAGATTATATTTTAAAAACGTGATAAATTTGGGTTTCAGACATACTGGGAAAACACAAGTTTTCGTTTGCTTAAGTTTTAGACCGTTATTAAGATATAATTATACATTTATAAGTATACTGTTAAATCACTAAGTTTCGCGTTTTTTATCTCGTTGAATCCATAGGTTCACGAAGTAATTACAATTTTGACACAAAGCAATTCCCCGATTGACTGGGTACTCATAAACCACGAATTCATGTACCCACGAAATGGTGTTTTGTCGGGAAACCATGACATTTGGGCCCCACGAAAATATTTAATTTCACTGTATTTCAAAATAGTATAAACACCTGAACAAGAATTTCACTAAAATGTTTCAGACTCCAAACAAGAGGATCTCCGGAGAAAACTTGTACCAATACTCAGAAGAGACAACAAAAGAATGCTAGAATCGAGAGGACACATGTAGAATGTCCTTAGGCAGAGAGAATACACAGATGGACAGAGACAGAGGGATCGAGAGTAAAAGAGATTGTGTTTATTTGACAGGACAAAGCAATTTCACAACCCGACACTTTCAACGTAGAACGTGGAAAAAACAGTTTTACACTACGTCTCCCGGCAACAATTGGAGGCATTGTATTGTGTCCTCCGGTCCTGCAGTCATTTTTAGCTGATACACAGCGAAGTGAGCACTGCGCAATTACCATTAACATTTTGATAAAAAAAAGTCTATCGGTAGTTCGTAGTTTCCAAAGTGTTTATAAGTTTTTATCATTTCAGAATTATTATCATATAAAATCACGTGTTCTGAAAAAGTAAGGCCATGTTATCGTTATGTATATATTTAACAGACTAAACGTCGGGGCGTGAGGGATTTAGCTCTCCACTATTTTGCATGATATAAATGAGGCACGGGACATGTCAACAGATATAATATATAAGACATTGTATTCATGTCCGTGACTTAAACAACCCTGTCCCATGGCAATGGTTTTTCTCTCTCTCTCTCTCTCTCTCTCTCTCTCTCTCTCTCTCTCTCTCTCTCTCTCTCTCTCGTAAATACAGTAACCTCTCCTTAATTTCATTTTAGACAGTATTGTAGCATAATTTTGCAAGTCCACTTTTTTGACCATATTGCTACATTAGTCTAGAGGGATTATAAAACAAGCTGCTTAGGTCTAAGGTTCAAATCTCGGTATAGCCCCGCTGAATGTTCATTCTTAGAACTGTTGTTGAGTATATTTCGTCTGTTTCAATTTTGCTATTTTTTTCCATAAAAATCTTGCAAATCAAACATGTTCCATTATTGCTGAATATGTAATTGTTTGTTTTCAATAATGACAAAACGTCAGAATAAGGTATAATATAAATTATAAATCAAGAAATGTTTATAATTGCGTGCTGCTAAGAAATGTTCCGTGAACTAGCTTAAAGAATGGCAGGTCCTCCTCAATAATTCAGTACTGATTGATATGTTAGTAATTAATTTACTGTCATCGGTGTTTAAACTATTTGCTTAAGATTTAGCGATTTAAAAAATAATTACACATGATACTTATGGAAGATCATTTTAATTTGACACGTATATGATATATTTGTAACCGGGTCTCAGTGCAGGAAATTTTGAACAGAACTTAAACATATGAATTTGCAAATTCCTCATGCTTCATTATGTTAAGATGAAGTAGACATATTTTTTTTTATTAATTTTAGGTTGTTTTCATTTATTAAAACATACTTTGGAAACGAGCGATAGAGCACCCACCCAGCCACTGAAATTGTTCTGTGTTACTTAACTAGAAAAGTTTTGGTTATACCTTATCGCTGAAAAATACTAGCTAACAAGTAAAGCAGTTTGTCCCATTTCAACCTTTGGCTGTTACAATGCCCTCCCCCCTCCTCGAGAGGTTTGGTTTCGAGGCTTGGCGTTGTCAACCCTGTGGGTACACAAGTGTAGCGACGCTACCGTAAAATGTAACTTGCGATAGGGCACCCATCCAGTCACTGACCACGACGTTACTTAATTTTAGTAAGTAAGTTCAATAGTGTTTTTCCATATCTTCATTAAGGCATGTGTATGAGCCAAATTCATTATAGTATCGTGATGTCATCCTTTTTGGTTGAAATGTACAATTTTTATGTTGTCATAATGTTTTGAAAAGTGTGAGATCATCGACTAATGTGTACCTCATTGTAATGGCCATGTTAAGTGATGTTTATTGGTAGCCATGTGTAGTTCTTATGATGTCTTACATAAATTAAGATAAGGCAGTTTGCTTCGGGACTATTTTCGGAGTTTTGTTTCATTTATCAAAAATAAATATAGGTTTGTCATAGAAATAGAACAGAGATCTTAGAAGACATAACAATAGTCTGATAAGGGACCTTTGTTTAAACTTTGCGGGAAGGTGCACACTTATCGCTAATCTTGAACAACAAATAGTCTCACCGTAAGGTTGTCTTGTTATCCATCAGATCGCTTAGTTACTTGGTTACTTAAAAGTAAAACCTAAACATTTGGAGGATAGAAGAATAAATAGAACGCATTCGGGTACCGTAAATATCTTATTTCAGTAAATGTTTGATTTCTGTATTGTCAAGGTTTCGGAGAAAATAAATATTTGATTTCGTGAATATAATGAATTTATTTTATTTGTTTGATTTGTTGCTTGGGGTGTATACTGAAAAACAGAAATATTTACTTCACGTATTTTAGGTATAGTATCATAGGACATATGTACTCTACGTACCATAGATAAACTTACGTGTACTCCACTTACTATATATGCAGTCAGGTGTACTGCACGTACTATTGATACAGTCACGTGAACTCTACGTACTATAAATATAGTCACGTGTAATCTACATATTATAAATACAATGACGTGTACTGTACGTATTATAGAATACAGTGACGTGTACTATACGTGCTATAAATACAGTCACTAGTACTCTACGTGCTATAAATACAGTGACGTGTACTCTACGTGCTATAAATACAGTGACGTGTACTCTACGTGCTATAAATACAGTGACGTGTACTGTACGTATTATAGAATACAGTGACGTGTACTCTACGTGCTATAAATACAGTCACTAGTACTCTACGTGCTATAAATACAGTGACGTGTACTCTACGTGCTATAAATACAGTGACGTGTACTATACGTGTTATACATACAGTGACGTGTACTCTACGTGCTATAAATACAGTCACTAGTACTCTACGTGCTATAAATACAGGCACGTGTACTCTACGTACTATAAATACAGTGACGTGTAATCTAAGTACTATAAATACAGTCACTAGTACTCTACGTGCTATAAATACAGGCACGTGTACTCTACGTACTATAAATACAGTGACGTGTACTCTACGTGCTATAGATACAGTGACGTGTACTATACGTGTTATACATACAGTGACGTGTACTCTACTTGCTATAAATACAGTCACTAGTACTCTACGTGCTATAAATACAGTGGCGTGTACTCTACGTGCTATAAATACAGTGACGTGTACTAGTGACGTATACTCTACATGCTTTCAATACAGTTACGTGTACTCTACGTGCTATAAATACAGTGACGTGTACTCTACGTTCTGTAAATACGTGTACTCTACGTAATATAAATACAGCCACGTGTACTCTACGTACTATAAATACAGTGACGTGTACTCTAAGTACTATAAATACAGTCACTAGTACTCTACGTGCTATAAATACAGTCACGTGTACACTACGTGCTATGAATACAGTCACGTGTACTCTACGTACTATAAATACAGTGACGTGTACTCTAAGTGCTATAAATACAGTCACTAGTACTCTACGTGCTATAAATACAGTCACGTGTACACTACGTGCTATGAATACAGTCACGTGTACTCTACGTACAATAACTTCAGTCACGTGTTCTCTACGTTCTATAGATAGTCTCGTGCATTTCACGTTCTATGTATTAATAAAGTCATGTGTACTTTACGTAATATAAATACATGTACTCCACGTACTATACATATAGTCACGTGTACTCTTCGTACTATAAATTAAGTGACTGTACGTATTATAGATTATCACGTGTTTAGCACGTACTATATATACAGTATATTTATATTAGAATTTGTCTTTGTCTCGACAATGAGTAAACGACGAGAGATCAGTTATATCTACAGTGTTGCAGTAACGATAAAGATAATTGACGGTTAAGACGCTAGCTAGCGAGCCTCACAACTTTCAAAGGGAGTCACCTGATCAACAGGTCCTTCATAACTACATATATGTTTGAAGAATTAAGTCCCCGAAAAATATAATCAAGTGTACAATTTCCGTAAAAGATATATTGAAAATGGTATCAGAATCTGCCCCAAATTTTAAACTATTTGATATCATTTTGTATTTTGCCTTTATTTGTAAAAATTCACGAAAAGCATAGCAAACATCATATCAAGGGAGGAAATTTGGTAACCTGCCTTTGTCATTACGAGTACAATAAAAAAAATGTAAAATAAACATTTTTGTATACTTATTTCTTCACTAATACAACTCATATGTGAACATTGTGCATGAATTCTTGACACATGTACATATAACAGGAATAATAGATATAACAGTATCATGTGTATCACTTATACCTCAAGTAGCAATAATGTCCCTGAAATGTACATTATATTATCATTTCCTAATACCCGAATAATTCCAATAATTAGCCGCAGCTTGCTGTAATCATTGTAAAGAAATTCAAGCTTATTTTCGAAACAGGCGTATATGTCATTTAGACAGTAAGCCATTTATGGCATATTTTTAAGTCCATTCCTTTTTTCAACTTGTTGCAATAATAAGTAATGGCACTTGATGATTATCTGCAGAGTCTCTTTATAACAGAGAAAATGTGGTTCATCCTGGAACTCAATGCGTATTTTCAAGAACGGCTTATTTTCAAAGACGGCCGCTTATTTCAAGATATGCTTGACTGCAAGGAATTCAAGGCTTATTTTCAAGTCCGGCTTACTATCGAAATTGTATGGTATATTGTGGAGACATAATGCCAGAATGCACCAAATAACATATAACAATAATAATAATCTAAATTGAACTGTGCGTGAGGATAATACAACAATATAATTGTTCTTATTCTACATGAAAACACAGGCTTCAGTGAGTTTCACTCATATTTTCTATATGATCATCCATGAATCTCTGTGGTTAAAGCAAAATATTCCATTGCTCATTTTCTTTGCACCATACATTATAAGAAATACGTTACGAATCATACGCTGTCCGTGCAGGTTGTACTGTTTACAGGGAATTGATAAATTGTTAAGTCGGTAATCTAAATTGAACTGTGCGTGAGGATAAAATGCAACAATATATTTGTCATATTCTGCATTATTCTGGCAATACACAGTCTGGGTACTCACGAAATAGTTTACCTCTACGCATTAAGTTTTTCATATTATAAAAATATTTTTACATTTCCACTACAGGTTTGTAAATAAGCTTTATCAGAAGAAATTTGATCAGCGACATTTTTAAGCTTATCCTGCGTGATCGAGTAACGTGAAAAAACAACCGCTTGAAGGAACCATTAGACGTTAACGTTAGACTTTTCCAGACATCTTGTTTCCACCGACAAAACTTCCAACAACTTCCTGATTGTGAGTCTTATCTAAATGGAAAATAAAGATGACTAAATATTGACGAGTTCAGAAAGATGTCGATGTTGTTTCCAACTTTGATATTGACGAGTTCAGAAAGATATCGATGTTGTTTCCAACTTTGATTTTGACGAGTTCAGAAAGATGTCGATGTTGTTTCCAACTTTGATATTGACGAGTTCAGAAAGATGTCGATGTTGTTTCCAACTTTAATATTGACGAGTTCAGAAAGATGTCGATGTTGTTTCGAACTTTGATATTGATGAGTTCAGAATGATGTCCATGGTGTTTCAAACTTTGATATTGATGAGTTAATGAAGTTAACCATGATGTTTCGAACTTTGATATTGATGCATTAAATAACGTCCATGGTGTTTCAAACTTTTATACTGATACGAGTTAATACAGTTGTCCATCGTGATTCGAACGTTGATATTGATGCGTTAATTAAGTTGTCCATGGTGTTTCAAACTGATGAGATCAAAATATTGTTGAAAAAAATATCTGTTAAAAGGTAGGTCACACAATTCACGATGATTACAAAATGTAAGTTTAGTCTGAAGGTAAATATCACATTTGTATTTATAGATAAAAATGTTGGTAATCTCATATCAGATACACAGCGAAGTTCACTGGGCGATCATAGCTACAGCCGTGGAATAAGTTTTCTGCGTAGGTCTTCTGGATCACTGTCTGAAATTAAAAATAATAACACTTGTTTTTATATTTTATCATCTTTGTTAGCCAAGGGTTACGATCCTACTATCCTACATCGTCACTAGTCTACTATATAAGACTTAATATCCGAAATCCTCACATATCTACACTATAATTATACAAGTCTAAATACGAAACCATCATCAGCAGGTGCCACAAAACCTATTTATTACTAGTCAGTTCAAATTTAGTAAATCTATACCATCGAAGAGGACGAGTTCACATTTAGTGTGCAGTTCCTCGCCTGCAGGTCCTCGGAGAAGACTGCTGATTGTATCACAGAATCGTTGCTGTTCTCTCCTCATCGCATCTTCATTGATGCCAGCTAGTCGACTGTCATTCATCTCCCATAAACAGAGTACCGGGGCTGGGTACTGTCCAATGAAGTAGCGCTTCTGAAAGAATAAATACCAATGGTATAATGAAAAGTAGAATGAATACACAGAGTACATTCCTTAATTTTTTGGAATATCTTTTTGGCACCTATTGTTTAGTACCCTTGATGAGTACTAAATGGACTATATGGATACACACTTTGTCATAGATGAGTGTTTGACATAGGGAGCAATATGTTTAGGTGGCAGATAAAAGAAGCCACCTGGATACGTTACAGCGGCCAGTTCTAAAATCGATATGAGGGGGCTTACAGAATCTCACAAGTATATGACCAGGTAAGAAACCAAGCATTACCGAATATAATACAACATAATATTAAAACGCTTCTAACGTATCCGAATCGACAATAATTCACTTGTTACCAACTTGTACATATTTTGCATCTTCGTGTACATACACTTCACTGGTCATCTGTCAGATGAAGGTGACAGGGTACGTATGGTACTAGTCACCGGAACGTCATGTATAAACATTTATGGGTTGGGCTATTTGAACTTCTTGCAAATCCACACAAACCAACATGAAGAAAGTTCGTGCTGTGATGGTAAATGAATGACTTCATCATAAAAGCGGAAATTGATATATGAATTGTTCTTTGTCCTATCATGTCAAATTTCAAATGTACATATAATTGTACCGGGAAACACATTAACCTATGCAGAAGATATTGATCATTTTACACAATGACACATATTCTATAAGGATAGTTTGTTTATTTTGTGATGCTACTTTGTGACGCCTACATTCACAGAAACACTTACAGCGTATTTTATCTACATGTATATTTTTTCATACCTTTGCTTCAGCGCTGTCATTCTCTGTGATGCTATATATATCAAGAGACTTGATAATATTTGCTCCGCCTAAGTTGTCCGTTAATCTAACAAAGGAACTGAAGTGGTCAACATAGGTCCATCTGTCACTGATGAGTCCTGTACACTTACAGCTGATAGGTACCAACAGGAAAAGCTTTTCGGGACAAGTTGTGACCGTCGCGCCCTGTAGATCTAATACCTTTTGCAGATAAGGTCCGAATTCTTCGTAAAAAAAATTATATAGTGTTTACGCATAACGTGGAAACTATTGCGACAGAAAAAACAAAGTGTATATTCTTGCTTTCTGTATGTTATTAGTTAATATGAGTTTACCTCGTCAGGTGTTATAGGTCATTCGAATATCAACTTACGTGGGAGAACCGTCTTCAGGTAATTGACGAGATATCCCCAAGCCAAACCGTAACCTAGGTTACCAGCAGGGATGTGTGCAGCGTCAAGCGCGAGTGGAATGTCTTCCCCTAGAAACAGGAAGTGGACTATTGTCTCTACGACGTATGACATTGTATCATATGTGTCTCAATTAAGTATCTTTCGCTGTTTCCTTTCTTTGAAATATACTACGGAGATTTAAAATCGTTACATGTTGTATATGTACTTAAACGATCAGCTCTGATCATACAAATCAAAGTTAAGGTGTTAAAAATAGATTGTATCTTTGCATATATGGTTCTTGCTTAACCGACCAATGTTGTGAACCAATGAAAGAAAACACAACCTCTGAAGCAGGTGAATGGGATTGTCTTTGAATCGTTTATCCTCTGTTTATATGTGTAGTTTTATTGCCGAAAATATCGGGATATTCAGTGACTATAAGCCATGGCTGTGATACGCTTTACTTTGTTTATCATTCTCGTCTACTAACACAAAACAGTAAGTCACAACCGAAAAAAATAAAAGGTGAACAATATATTAGAATGTTATACAATTGACGCGATAAAATGACAAAAAATGTACCTTTCAGAGCACGGTATATTTGTTCCTTATATCCGTTTGTCTGCATGTCGATGTAAGTAACCCATCGCAGCATTTCGGGTATATACCCCTCCGATAAGTCGTCTATCACGGGGATGATCCGTAGTCTATTTTTACTGATGGATTCGCCGAGCAGAGCCATTATTTTCATGTTCATTATGGCATCTTTAATGCAATTGCGGGTTATTATCAATATAATCCACCGACACTTTTCGACAGCTTCCTCAACCTCTGAAATAAAAAATAAAAATAAAACTTGAATGTAAGCTTAGCTTAGTATGAAGTGTAAAATGCATTTAAAGTGTTCCTCTGTAACTTAAGAGTCTTCGTATGGTCCATGTCATTTCACTATAGCTCATTGTGGCGTCATCATGTAGCGTTTGAAGTTTACGCCATAATGACTCAATTCAGATATACCATCGCAATTATTATGGTACAAGTATTAAATGATCTTGTATATCAATCATGTTTATTTTCTAAAAAATGATATCATGATGGAAACAAATTTTCATCAATGGAACCTAAACCTAAAGCAATAAACATGGTTTGATATAATCAGAATTTGTCGATACAGATCACATATCAATACAATATTTGTTTATTTCGATCAAAAATGAACTAGATTCAAACAGTCTGCGTACTTTGAAAGGGACTAGTTTCCGTCTTTTTGCATACATCCTGAAACACTCTGATATGTTTGTCCCTCAGAAAGCTCTCAATTTCTTCCTTTCTGTCCATATCTTCCTCTGTTGCATTGCTGTAAAGAATGACGACGTCATACTCTGACTGTGTACTCTCTGGCAGTCTGAGGGCCCTTGCCATTGCCTCAAAAGGTGCGTTCTGCAAAATCAAATATTAACTTCAAATTTAATATGTCGTTTAAAAGAAAGACTGTGTTGTTATCATTTTTTATGAACATTGGCATAAAATATAGAAGCTTCTCGGAATTATTTGTTGGGAAAAATGGTAAACTCATTGAGATAATTAAAAATATCTACTGTGTATGTGCTTATTGTATCGAATTTTACTAATCGTTTCGCTTCAAACATACTACCCCAAGGCTGACATGAATTTGATAACATAATGACGAAATATTGTATACTCTGTGTTAGTGTCGCACTCAGGCAGTAAATACAATGTTATGCAGTGTTATTTTGACGGTTTCCTGATTATCGATGCATCTTGTTTTACTTCATTATCATTGTAAAGTATCGCTTTAAATTCCCAGATTAATCTAAGACAAATAGCGCGGCCACTGTAGCAACACCTAAAAAGCATTTTAAATTTCGAACCTCTACGTCTTTCTGGATCGCTTTCAGTAATATATCCCTTGGTCGCTCATTGTTGTCTGAAATATGACGAAATTAATATCATTAACGTTTGGCAAAGATAAATGCGTTAACAAGTAAACAAACTATCTGTTGTTACTATTTAGGGAAAATTATTTATTTAACTATATATTATGTTCATTATTTTTCTTTCTGATAAGGACAACCTTCTCACTGAAAAAATATATTATAACATATCTATGTACTTGCTTAAACTTATACCACTGTCTGATATACCCATTTTTCCTGTCAAAGTCCGAAACAGACCATAATAGGCATAGTTAACACTCTAAGTTAAGACAACACAATACTTCTACTTACAATAACATGTTTTTGAACAGAGTACATTCTTCACTATTTTTGGGTGCAATCTTTTATATTACTGCCTACAATCTGCTCTGTTTCCGCCTACATTCCAATTTATTTCTGTCAACAATCTCGACTGTTTGACAATAATTTACTTTGTTTCCGACAAGAGTCTTCGCTGTTTTTATCTAAATTCATCTGTATTCTTACTGCCATCCCCTGTATTTCCAACTACTTTTTGTATTTTCTGACTCCTTTTCACTTGATTTCTGAGTACATTCCCATCTATTTTAGAAAGAACCGTTCCATTCTATTTGTGACTTAATTCTCCTGTTTTGATTAAACTCTACCTAATTCCTGACGTCTTTGCATTCTTTTCTGTTTCTGACCATTTTCTAGTTAATTTCTGACTTTATTCCTCTCTTTTTCTGGCTTGCTCTTTCTCTGTTTCTGACTGCGATCTCCTCTGTGTCTGTCTTCATCCCTACACCCTGATGTTATATTTATAGTTAATTGTACTCTTTATGATTACAAGTTTCTCTATTTCTGCCTGAATTGCATTTTTTTACTATCTACATTCTTCCCTATTTCAGAAAACATTCTACTCCATTTTTAACGCCAATCAACCATCATGCTAATATATTCAACTTGATATCTCACCATCAAAGTACAGTAACCGAGACTGATTATGACACGGCGTGATGTCCGAGTGATGCAGTATAGCATTTAGTGTGTAGTAGAACCGAGATAGTTGCAGCTCTCTGTGAATTGGGTCCATTTGAATAAAGGGGGAGACCTCCATCTTCTGGATGGCACTCAGAACATTGGGGTACTGAGCAATGCAGTAATACTTCTGTAAAGGAAGTAACACACCCTTCAGTAATAAATAAAATGTTATTGTGTTTACTTGTACATGTATCACGGATATTTACTTCCTGTTTATTTAACAAAATACGTACTGTTATATTTGTCATAATTGATCGAAGAGTAAACTGCAGACAAAATCAATACATATGTATAAAACAAATTCAAGGCATTAATACTTTTTTTGTATACGAAGTATATATATATATAGATATACACATCGTCTTTGTTAAAAAGTGTATCCACATAAATGACATTCAGAAGGGATTAAGTTTCGTAAAACATGCCTCTAGGAAAATTCTGCGATTGCTTTGATTTCAAGCCTTAAGATATCGAAATGCATACCTTCCCGTCGTCCTCAATACTGTACACATTCAGCATGTAAGGCCGGGTCTTATTACCCGCTCTGTTTACGACAATCGGAGCTAATGTTCCAACCTTCTTCACATCCGGGTCATTGATGACAAATGGAATGATACAGCTACTTGGTACCAATTCATACATTTTGATTGGCATATTGGCCGGATTTTCCTGATACCATTGGCTTTCCTTAATTCTCTGTTCAAGTTCTGACGAATTAAAAGAAAGATAAATATTTCGCATTATGTTCTGTGATGATGCATAACAGGTGTCAGTACATAAAAAGTGATTACTTTCACTGCTATTTCCAATCAGTTCGTCAATTATATATTGTCGATATTTGGTTATCAAGTCATCTCTAAATAATTGTTAAACATCTATCAAAGCTGTTCAATACTTGGATTCGTCATCACAGAAAGTCAGTGGTTAACTAATCTATACACAGATAAACATATTTCTATACGAAATCGTCGGAAGTAATCAAGCCGTTTCACCATGCTATTACTAATAGCAAAAGATAATTACAAATCATAAATACACACTTGTAATAGTTATACATATGTTTTATAGTGTCACAAGTATGTTAAACACATTTGTGATAATTACAACAGTGTAATAAAAACACTCGTGTGATAGTTATTTACGTGTAAATAATACATACGTGCATGTACGATGTTGTGAAAGCCAAAAAAATGGGACCACGCTTGTGCGTGTGCGATATTGCCAACGGGTAATTCACAGTCGATGGATTTTACCTCTGAAAATAAGATTTAACAATGCCATGACGTTGATTTTAAAATGTAAATAACGTTTAGATTGAATATCAATGGTATGTATGAGAGAAGAATTTAAAACGCAATTTATTAAAATCTAGGTTTACACAAAATCTGTTATCACGATGTTAAACTCAACCTAGATAAACTGATACATTCCAATGCATGCTTACATGAGATTCTGTGAAACTTATTTTACCGCTTATAATAATGTATTATCTTTATGCAATTACAAGTTGAGTTGTGTAAGTTGTACAGAAATGTGAAATACCGTGGATTTTCTCTACAACACGCTGGACTTGTTCGGCGGTCCAGTCGCCGTCCGAATCGATGGACAGAGTGAAGCGGGGTATCATATCAAACATTGCCATTTTTGGTAGCTGGAAGTATTACATCATCATTAATAACCTTTTACATTAAGAATATAAAGTATGCAATTTGCACTCATAACACGAATGACTCGAATTGAATGTGAATTTAAACAAGAGGCCCAAATGGGCCTGCATCGCTAACCTGGTATAAAACTCACACTTGTAACCTTAAAAGTGATCTGAAATAAAGCTACAGGCAGAAGAAGTTGTTGAATGTTTTCCACATATTTGACCCCTGTGACCTTGAAAATGGGTGAAGGTCATACATTTGAACAAACTTTGTAGCCCTTCATCTCAGGATGCTACTGGCCAAATATCATCATCCTGAGCATTTTGGTTATTCAAAAGAAGTTGTTTAAAGGTTTTTTAATACAATTGACCCCTGTGACCTTGAATATAATTGAAGGTCATTCATTTGAACAAACTTGGTAGCCCTTCACCCAAGCATGCTACTGGCCAAATATCATCTCCCTGGGCATTTTGGTTATTGAGAAGAAGATGTTTAAAGTTTTTGACATATTTGACCCCTGTGACCTTGAAAATAGGTTAAAGTCATTAATTTTTACAAACTTTGTAGCCCTTCATCCCGGCTAGCTACAGGCCAAATATCATCACCCTGAGCATTTTGGTTATTCAAAAGAAGTTGTTTAAAGGCTTTTTAATACAATTGACCCCTGTGACCTTGAATATAATTGAAGGTCATTCATTTGAACAAACTTGGTAGCCCTTCACCAACGCATGCTACTGGCCAAATATCATCACCCTGGGCATTTTGGTTATTCAGAAGAAGTTGTTTAAAGTTTTAAACATATTTGACCCCCTGTGACCTTGAATATGCGTGAAGGTCATTCATTCGAACAAACTTTGTAGCCCTTCATCCCAGCTAGCTACTGGCCAAATATCATCACGCTGGGCATTTTGGTTATTCAGAAGAAGTTGTTTAAAGTTTAAATATATTTGCCCCCTGTAACCTTGAATATGCGTGAAGGTCATTAATTTGAACAAACTTTGTAGCCCTTCACCCAAGCATGCTACTGGCCAAATACCATTTCCCTGGGCATTTTGGTTATTGAGAAGAAGTTGTTTAAAGTTTAAATATATTTGACCCCTGTAACCTTGAATATGCGTGAAGGTCATTCATTTGAACAAACTTTGTATCCCTTCATTCCAGCTAGCTACTGGCTAAAAATCATCACCCTGTGCATTTTGGTTATTGAGAAGAAGTTGTTTAAGTTTTTAACATATTTGACCCCTGTAACCTTGAATATGCGTGAAGGTCATTAATTTGAACAAACTTTGTAGCCCTTCACCCAAGCATGCTACTGGCCAAATATCATCTCCCTGGGCATTTTAGTTATTGAGAAGAAGATGTTTAAAGTTATTGACTTATTTGACCCCTGTGGCCTTGAAAATAGGTTAATGTCATTCATTTTAACAAACTTTGTAGCCCTTTATCCCAGCTAGCTACTGGCCAAATATCATCGCCCTGTGCATTTTGGTTATTGAGAAGAAGAGGTTTAAAGTTTTTGACTTATTTGACCCCTGTGACCTTGAAAATAGGCAGGATGCTACTGGCCAAATATCATCACCCTGGGCAATTTGGTTATTCAGAAGAAGTTGTTTAAAGTTTTAAACATATTTTACCCCTGTGACCTTGAATATGCATGAAGGTCATTCATTTGAACAAACTTGGTAGATCTTCACCCAAGCATGCTACGGGCCAAATATCATCTCCCTGGGCATTTTAGTTATTGAGAAGAAGATGTTTAAAGTTTTTGACTTATTTGACCCCTGTGACCTTGAAAATGGGTGAAGGTCATTCATTTGAACAAACTGGGTAGCCCTTCACCCAAGCATGTTACTGGCCAAATATCATCTCCCTGGGCATTTTGGTTATTGCGAAGAAGTTGTTTAAAGTTTAAATATATTTGACCCCTGTGACCTTGAATATAATTTAATGTCATTCGTTTGAACAAACTTGGTAGCCCTTCACCAACGCATGCTACTGGCCAAATATCATTTCCCTGGGCATTTTGGTTATTGCGAAGAAGTTGTTTAAAGTTTAAATATATTTGCCCCCTGTAACCTTGAATATGCGTGAAGGTCATTAATTTGAACAAACTTTGTAGCCCTTCATCCCAGCTAGCTACTGGCCAAATATCATCTCCCTGTGCATTTTGGTTATTGAGAAGAAGGTGTTTAAAGTTTAAATATATTTGCCCCCTGTAACCTTGAATATGCGTGAAGGTCATTCATTTTAACAAACTTTGTAGCCCTTCACCCAAGCATGCTACTGGCCAAATATCATTTCCCTGGGCATTTTGGTTATTCGGATGAAGTTGTTTAAAATTTTAACCATATTTGACCCCTGTGACCTTGAATATGCGTGAAGGTCATTAATTTGAACAAACTTTGTAGCCCTCCATCCCAGCTAGCTACTGGCCAAATATCATCACCCTGCGCATTTTGGTTATTGAGAAGAAGTTGTTTAAAGTTTAAATATAGTTGACCCCTGTAACCTTGAATATGCGTGAAGGTCATTCATTTTAACAAACTTTGTAGCCCTTTATCCCAGCTAGCTACTGGCCAAATATCATCTCCCTGGGCATTTTGGTTATTGAGAAGAAGATGTTTAAAGTTTTTGACTTATTTGACCCCTGTGACCTTGAAAATAGGTTAATGTCATTAATTTTAACAAACTTTGTAGCCCTTTATCCAAGTTTGCTTCTGGCCAAATATCGACACCCTAGGCCTTTCTGTTATTAAGAAGAAGTCGTTTAAAGTAAAATATTGACGCCGGACGACGGACGGACGGACGGACGGACGGACGAACGACGCCGCGCTACGGCATAAGCTCACTTAGCACTTCGTGCCAGGTGAGCTAATAAGCATACAAACAAAAGTAGAATATATGTTTAAGACTTCACGAAAAAAAAAATAGCGTTTCTTAAAACTTTTAAAATTATCAATAGCTTCAATGTGGGCTACGATATTCATAATGCACGCTGTGGCATTTAATTAGGGAAATGTTATGTTGGCATACTTGGTCTTCTGGTACCCCGTGAAATAGGATCACTGCACCAATTTTTCCGAGCTGCTGTGAACGTTCTAGCGCCAGGATAGTCTCGAAAGCAAACCACGAGCTCTTCAGAGCGCTCTGGGTGACTAGAAATAGGCCTTTCCTGCTTGTGTTTATGCCATGCACTATGCCATCTATTAAAGGAGTTCCGGCAGCGATCGATGTCGAGGCTACGAAGCTTAAAATGCCTGTATATAAAAGAAACACAGGTATAATATTTAACAGAAATACAAAAAAAGCGTCTATTTCTGAAGTTTGTTGGTAGATGCAAAAAGCCGAACAAAGTAAGCATTTTTCTGTTCTATATGTGCAATTCGCCAATAACGACTAATCTTATCAGTGGTACTTAAAACCAATCCGATACAAACTCCGTTTCTAAAGTGTAATTAATTATAATTAGACTACAGCGAAAAGGAACGGTGCCTATTTAACCCTTTTAAACAGTACAAATATCCAGCTTTAGGCTACAACAATAAACGACTCTATCATGCCCAGGGGTGTAGGAAAGAACAATCCCGAGGGTGGAATTTCCTGTACTACACCCCTGGGCATGAAAGAGTAGTTTTCTCTCATTCGAAATAGCAAAATGAGCTCCGAAACCATGAACATTAGCATACCCTAGATTGGCGAACTGAGTTTGTGCAGAAAAGAATTATTATCTTTCTAACGTGTACGGTTAATATATCGCAATAAGTTTTATTTTCATCACGTTGCCTTTTCCGCAAGTCACGTCATTGTTGAGCCATTGTGACGTCAGATAGAAATTTCTTACACCCCTTTCTAACCCTAGACAGCTCTATCTTACTCACAGGGAAATGAGATAATATTTTATACTATCTGTACCAGATACAATTCTAGATTTGAGGTTAAAGACAGCATCAGATCTGAAAGTCCAACGATAGATTTAATCACCTTGGTGTCTAGAATAAATACTGAACGTCTAAGAAAGGTAGCACCTATTTGAACATTTTATTTATAGATGCAGAAACGTGAACCTTTACTACACCACATATGTAAACCTTTACTACACCACATATGCAAACCTTTACTACACCACATATGTAAACTTTTACTACACCACATATGTAAACCTTTACTTCACCACATATGTAAAACTTTACTCCACCACATAACTAGCGCCTTCTACAGTCTTAACTGGGTTCGAATGTCAGTTTAGCCATGGGATATGTAATCGCAGATACATTGTACTAGTATTTTCCGTTGAATGTCATTGCAGTACAGAATTGCAGTACCTAAATCATTTTCAAAATATATGTCAAATGTGGCTTTTTGATTTCAAGGTCGTTAACTCAGTAGTTATTTTCCAGTTTCTTCAGCTATGGACAAAAAGCTGCCAAGCTAATTAGCTATTCAAACATATATTCTAAACATCAATGCTGGATAAATCGATTCTGTGTTTTGATCAATTATGTGGCCATGTTGTTATACCAGGGAGGTTTTAATTATATCGTCGTAGTGACGTAAGCATGACTCATAGAAATACCAAAACTGCTGTACTCAAACGCACGTTACCGTGCAACGGCTGTTATGTGAGGCTCCCACAGAATTGGAGGTTTCCTGCGGCGTTTTGTTATCAAAAGCGACATTGAAGAAACTTAACTGATCTGCTGCCTCGTTGCAACACTCAGGATCTATGACTATATTTGTTCACTTTGTTTCCCTTTATTTTTAACGGAACCTCCTTGGTCACCCGTTTTTGTATTACCTTTATGACCTCCTAAGTCACCCGTTGTTGTATTACCTTTATGACCTCTTAAGTCATCCGTCGTTGCATTACCTTACAACCTCCTTAGTCACACGTCTTTGTATGACTTTACGAACTGCTTAGTCACCAATCTTTGTATTACCTTATGACCTCCCTAGTCACCCGTCTTTGTATTACCTTTATGACCTCCTAAGTCACCCGTCGTTGCATTACCTTACAACCTCCTTAGTCACACGTCTTTGTATGACTTTACGAACTGCTTAGTCACCAATCTTTGTATTACCTTATGATCTCCCTAGTCACCCGCCTTTGTATTACCTTTATGACCTCCTAAGTCACCCGTCGTTGTATTACCTTACAACCTCCTTAGTCACCCGTCTTTGTATGACCTTACGACCTCCTTAGTCACCGCCTTTGTATGACTTTACGACCTCCTTAGTCACCCGTCTTCGTATTACCTTACGACCTTCTTAGTCACCCGCATTTGTATGACCTTACGACCTTCTTAGTCACCCGTCTTTGTATGACCTTTCGACCTCCTTCGTCACCCGTCTTTGTAGTACCTTATTACCCCCTTGGTCACCAATCTTTGTATTACCTTATGACCCCTTAGTCACACGTCTTTGTATTACCCTATGACTTCCTTAGTCACCCGCTTTGTATGACCTTATGACCTCCTTAGTCACACGTCTTTGTATGACCTTATGACCCCTTAGTCACCCGTCTTTGTTTTACCTTATGACTTCCTTAGTCATCCGTCTTTGTATTACCTTACGACCTCCTTAGTCACTCGTCTTTGTATGACCTTACGACCTCCTTAGTCACCGCCTTTGTATGACTTTACGACCTCCTTAGTCACACGTCTTTGTATGACCTTACGACCTCCTTAGTCACCGCCTTTGTATGACTTTACGACCTCCTTAGTCACACGTCTTTGTATTACCCTATGACTTACTTAGTCACCCGCTTTGTATGACCTTATGACCTCCTTAGTCACACGTCTATGTATTACCCTATGACTTACTAAGTCACCCGCTTTGTATGACCTTATGACCTCCTTAGTCACATGTCTTTGTATGACCTTATGACCCCTTAGTCACCCGTCTTTGTTTTGCCTTATGACTTCCTTAGTCATCCGTCTTTGTATTACCTTACGACCTCCTTAGTCACCCGTCTTTGTATTACTAACGACTTCCTTAGTCACCCGTCTTTGTATGACCTTATGACCTCCTTAGTCACACGTCTTTGTATGACCTTACGACCTCCTTAGTCACCGCCTTTGTATGACTTTACTACCTCCTTCGTCACCCGTCTTTGTATTACCCTATTACCCCCTTAGTCACCCGTCTTTGTATAACTAACGACTTCCTTAGTCACCCGTCTTTGTATGACCTTATGACCTCCCTAGTCACCCGTCTTTGTATTACCTTATGACCCCTTAGTGACCCGTCTTTGTATTACCTTAGACTTCCTTAGTTAACCGTCTTTGTATGACCTTATTACCCCTTAGTCACCTGTCTTTGTATTAATTTATGACCCCCTTAGTCACCCGTCTTTGTATGACCTTATTACCCCCTTGGTCACCCGTCTTTGTATTACCTTATTACCCCCTTGGTCACCCATCTTTGTATTACCTTATTATCCCCTTGGTCACCCGTCTTTGTATAACTAACGACTTCCTTAGTCACCCGTCTTTGTATGACCTTATTAACCCATTAGTCACCCGTCCTTGTATTACCTTATCATCCCCTTAGTCACCCGTCTTTGTATTACCTTATTATCCCCATAGTCACCCTCTTTATGACCTTAGCTCTTGTGCGGATGTCAAATTCACAACAAACAAATTAGAATGACATTTCTGTCAGTTTCCTCCATTCTACTGTAAACGATGTCCTATGTCATTCCTGGAATATACTGGAGTGGTTGGACAAGTACGTTACCAGGAAATGAGAGGGAAACACCATGCCAGAAGTCCCTACCTCACCTACATGTGCTAGTGAAGGTGTATATGAGATATGTAATACCTATAGTATAGGATAGGGAAATAACACCCACAGCGTTTTGGAATTGGTTGACACCTGAGGCTTGCCGAAGGATTTGCATTAATTCAAAAATCGCGATGGAGGAATGTCTTTACCCTGCAACTCTAGCAATGTATAGTCTATGGGAAATCTACGACTTGAGGAAATCTCAAGAGTTGAGATGTTTTATACAAGTGGGGCCTGGGCATTAAGTTATTTTCTCATTCATATACCCGTAATAGCTCAAATAGCCCGTAAAATCACAAGATGCGTCGGTGGGGGGGAGGCGAGTTTGCCATCCATTGCGCCACCGGACCAACATATATAGATTACTTATTGTATATGTATTTGTTTGTTGCATTACCTTTTTTCTTAAGCGCCTCCTTTATCGTGATCACTAGTTCGTAGTCCTCACTGCTATAGGAAATGAATACATGTCCTTCATCACTTGTGATGTCGTCAACCTCCATGGCGGTCATTCTAGCACGTAGTTGTCGTTTAGTCCTATTCAAGACAAATCATTGATAATTACTTTATAACTTCTCTTTGTTTCCTTGACAAATAACAAGGAATTTGCTACAATTTGTAAGTAAAACAGCTGTGGAGGCACAAAAGAAAACCCAAAATATGAACCCCTCCAAGCAAAGGAGATGATTTTTCTACAAAAATAAGACGAGAAACACTAAATAGTAGAAGATGAAACCCTACAAACACTATAAAAACACAATTTTGTCATTCAATATTTAAAACGGAAATAGAAACTGCACATATGAATTCCTGATATAAAGTAATGAATACTTTCGAAACTACTTCACATAATGATAACAAATAGAACAATGCAGTGGCTAATGACGTCACGGAAGTTCTTGTGCCGCAGGAAATAACCTCACGGAGAAAAGAGATCGGAGTCAAGTACAATTTCTCTTACCCTGGACAGGGGTATCCATACTTGATTCGCCTGATTTGTGCTGAGTACATTAATATAATTACGATGCATTGATATCATTTCAACAATACATTATGTCTGTAAAGTAATCATTGTATTGTGTATGAGTGTGATTATGGCAGTGTCAACAAAGAAAGAGTAAAATAATCATTACTTTTTGGGTGAGATGGCGAATCATCCTCAAAGAGTAAATATTCTTTAGTTGTCTTACACTCAGCAAGCTTCGTGGATTTCATCTATACAATTTCCCCTGGGGTAAAGTCCACCTATCTCATCCTTAAGAGGGTGAAATATTTGCTTTACCCTGTAATCACTCATAACACATTGATATCAAGTATAGTATCTCTGAGTCACGAATGGTGTACCGGTACAAAGTAGTGTAGTATATCGGAGTCAAGTAGAGTATAACACGCGGAGACAAGGTCTGATACATGTATATTACAACTTAAGCTAGTCTGTTCTATATCAAAGTACATGTATATATGTGTGTAAGTACAGTAATTGACACATCTTACACTTACCGGTTCAGCATAATGTAAAACATTTCTATTCAAAGTGATCTGGCATATATAAGGCATACTGCGTTTTCTGATAATTTTCAATACAAGGAAGTTTCACAGACGTTAACTTGTAGTTTTCCAAAAAAATCAACAATAGGGTTGGTAACTCAGTAACTAAAATTATTTTACAATTGAGAACTACTGACCTAGGCATCATCCGGTTCAAAACAGTTAACAATTAACAAACGTCATGGAAATGTTGCCAACGCAGTAGAGTGAAGTTACGCATTAGTAAACACAATGTAGTAGATGTGGATCTAATGGTTTAAATATCAATCACCTGTCGCTGTTGTACCGTGTCTAACATTTATTCTATTCTAACTTTGATAAAATGAAAACTGAATTTGTGGAATTCCCTGTTGAAATATGTGTTCAACGAGGTGTTATGAACATTTTAGCGTTGGCGTTACTGGGAACAGATAATACTTTTCAGAGTATTTAGATCACAATGAATATGTATAAAAGTGTATACGCCTCTGATGAACACCCACTTGTACATTATACACACCTTTTTAAGCTTAAACTTGTTTTTGAACATATTACTCAGAATTAACAAGTGTGATACTGTATACCAGACAATGTTCGCCGTATTTTAACTTTCGCCTTTTTCGTCCTCACAATGAGGGAAAATTTATCATGACAGCGATGTTTGTACACAACATTCAATATGTAGCAACATTAATACTAAGTGAACCTAGATTGTCTCGGCTAAGCGCGAATATTTTACTGAGCGAAAGTTTCCCGGTATACAGTTAAAATTGTTTTAAAGAACGTGAAAATTGCTTATCTTGATATTTCGCAAATCACTAAAACGCTACCTATTCTTCATCATAACATAGCCAATCCTCTGCCCAGGTTTCCTTTATGTATATGAAACACATTATAATCTAATCAATATGATTATCAATATTCAAAAGTGTTTTCGGATATTTGCATTCGTGATCCAAGGTTGGTTTAAACGGAAAGAGCTGGTCGTAATTCCTGTAAAACAATGTGGAAAATGAAAGTATTTTCTGGGCTTGAAAAGCATATAGCTGAGTCATTTATCAGGCTATCACAGACAAATCCTGATTTAATAATGGTAATCTATGATATACAGAGGTATTCCACTGATAACATATAATAATATAGATATATAACACTGGTGATTTATATTATTTAGAGGTACTTGTATTATACCGGTTCTTATGATTTTAAAAAGGTACTTGTATTATACTGGTTATTTATCATAAATACAGGTACTTGTATTATAAAGATAAATCACAATTTGTAGAGGTACTTGTATAATACTGGTAATTTGTAATAAAAAGGAATAAAATACTTGCAATTTAAAAGCATTACACTGGTAAATAATAATATATAGACGCATTACACTGGTAAATAATAATATATAGACGCATTACACTGGTAAATAATAATATATAGACGCATTTCACTGGAAAATAATAATATATAGACGCATTACACTGGAAAATAATAATATATAGACGCATTACACTGGTAAATAATAATATATAGACGCATTACACTGGTAAATAATAACATATAGACGCATTACACTGGTAAATAATAATATATAGACGCATTACACTGGTAAATAATAATATATAGACGCATTACACCGGTAATATATATTTTATGCAGGATTTTGATTACACTGGTAATTTATATTTTATGCAGGTTTTTGATTACACTGGTAATTTATATTTTATGTAGGTTTTTGATTATACTGGTTATGCATAAAATATAGAAGTATAGTAATTTATAATATAAAGTTCGATTTTATTTTATTTAACGTCCTATTAACAGTTTTTGTCATTTAAGGACGTAATAAAATAAATAAGTGTAAAACTGGTAGAAAAACTTATGGAGATTTAACACTGGTAATTTATAATACATAGATATTACACTGGTAATTTAAAATATTTAGTTGAATTTTACTGATAATAATATATAAAGGCTTAACTAAAAGTCTATAATATACAGACGCATTACACAAGTAATTTTTGATACACAGACTAATGGCACCGATGTATGTATAGATTGTGTGAATATCAGCCATTTCTTTACGAAACATACGCCACGTGATTATCTAAATTACATACAATTAAGTTTTTTAAGTTTATTCTTATAAAAAAAAAATGGTTTAACATTTTGTCTATAACATTTAATATTTGAATAAACAGAGCTCGTATCTAAATTTGTTTTGTTTTCTAATAAGTCTTTTACCCTCAAATATCGCTCGGTGTGATAAGCTGTTTAAGAGATATCATCAGATCATTGATCTAATATGATAACATTCAGATCATAACTTGTAATGTTATTGTTACTGTTGAGTGGCGTGTATGCCGGGTGAAATATAATCACCATGCTAACTGTACATGTGCCAATACTATCATTTGAGGGGGTCAAGTACTTGCAATGGTTAGGTAAACATGTAATACGATTTCAAAAGAAATTTCCATTAATATAACCTCAAGCATGCACACCCATTGGAAATATTCTGCTGAACTACTGAATCCCAAGTAATTTATTAATTTAGGGTAAAATAGTAAAATGACGGTAACTTTCTGTCAGAAATAAAGTACTTGGGATAACCTTGTATCAATATTTAGTTGACAAAGAACGAACGGCATGCATACCATTTTGACGACGCATATAAGGAGCATAAATAATATTTGGCAAGTAATACATTTTCTCTTGAAAAGTTCCATAGTATATTTAGATAGTACGTAATTCCGGTCTGTAGACAGGATTGACGAAAACTTCCCTAATGTCGTTTAAACTTTCGTTTTACATGTAACTTATATATACGGTGTATACTGAGATACACTGTTACGTATGACGCGATGCGTGCTGTTACACTTTTAGGCCTACACAAAAAGTATAAATGGGTGTACAGATCAATGGTGAGCAGAAGTAGGCGTATTAGCGTTCATGTGATATAGCAGACGACGCAAGAAACCTGAGTAAGGTTAGTTAATCTAATATGATAAAAAGAAACCAAGCAACAATAATTTGTGCATAAGGAAACGTAGGTCATACAAATTCAGGCTCGTCTTAGAAGCTCAGAATATGTTCTCGCAGGCAGAAGAGACGAACAGATGATTTACAGATTATTGTACCCCACTGTTTTCTCCATACGACTACTTTACATTAACAAACCTTTGGCTAAAACTTACCGAGGCGAATCTTACTAGCGCTCTTGTACCATCTACTATCTGCTAATATTATCCATGAATTTATTAACATAGGTTGTGCTACTCTTCAAAGGTGGAAATACATAGAAGCGTTCTATCTTTAGAAACAGGAAATTCCAGCTCGTTTTAGAATTGAAATGTGCCTATCTAAGTGTGTTTATCGACCGCTGTGTATGGACCACTGTGTATGTGTGTGTATAGATGTGTATACACCAAGTGTCTATCGACCGCTGTGTGTGTGTGTATAGATGTGTATACAATAGTTTATGTCTTCACGATGACGAACTACAGGACAGGCATACGAGGACATAGCAGATATTGATATTGTTTTGTTTTGTTTAATACAGTGATTATATATAGCTTCAATGGTTTATTGCACTTATTAAGGTTTAAATATTGGAATGATAAAGTATGCTGTAATGTAATAAAAAAAAGTTTGCTGTTATATAATGAAAAAAATGTTATTATTAAATAAAAACAAATGCTATTATATAATCGAAAAGTCTGCTGCTTTAAATTAAAAAAATTGTTGTGTAAAAAAGATCCTGCCGATATGAAATTAAAATGTCTGATGTTTAGTTGAAATGTTTAGTTCTGCTATTATAGGGTTAAAAAAGTTTGCCGTTATGTAATCAAAATGTCTACTGTTTAAAAGTTAAAGTGTTGGCTGTTATAGAATTGAAAATGATGTTGTTGTTTCATGGAAAAGTCTGCTGTTATAGAATTAAAAAGTCTGCTGTTATATAATTAAAAAAAATCTGCTGTTATAGAATCAAAACAATCTGCTGTTATAGAATT